CTTCATCATACCAGGTGTTGAGCAACAGCATCAACAGTTTGACATGTGCTACCAAGACTTTAGAGCATGTTTTTAGTCACAGTGCAGCAGTTTTCTGGTAAAGGACTTGGAGAACTTATATGTTGCATGTTACTTATGTGTGAAAACTCAAAATGACTCCTAAATATTTTGTCAGGTTCACAGAGGGGATTCAGTATTAGACTGCACCATGTCCATGCCACATCCTAACACTGAACAAGGGTTGGTCCATTTTCCACAGTGCACAGCTACGGATCAAACTTCCACCTCACAGCATGCTCAGACAACTCCAGAGCCTTTACATGGGGACACCTCTGAAGTATGCCAACAGCAAACAGTTTCTGATCTTCTGGAGAAAGGTGTTAGTGTGACTGTGGTAAGAGACTTTCCATTGGGAACACTGGAGGACTTTGTTGAGGAAGGACACTCTTTGCACTCCACCCTTCCTGAGGTCTATGAGAGGAGGCTTTGTCTTCTTGCCCTCCAGTTGGTGCTAGGACTACAGCAACTGGGACATTTTAAAGTCATTCACAGGGAATTGAAACCACAGAGTGTGACATTAGTGTGGCCTAGTATCACTCGCAAAGAGGCTGACTCTAATGATTACTCTAGTGAGATGAAAAGGGGAAGCATGAATACAGAAACTTTGACAGGTATACCACTAATCACAGTATCCAAAGAGCACACAGACTACGAAAGGACGAAAAGTGAGATTTGTCAAACCTTATGGGAGAAGTGGGGCACACCTCGTTTGGTCCTGAAGAGTCATTTTGAGGATGAGGTTTTGCAAGAAGCAAAATCCCAAGAGTTCCAGTTGGGGACTTTGCTAGGGTACTGCCTACATCTCAATGACAGTTGCTCATCTGTGTGGAAGGTGCCTCAAGGCACTCCATACACTCCAGGCTTGCTGTGGCTGGTCACCCAGCTTACATCTGAGAAACCTGGGCTACTATTAGCCGATGTGGTGGGTGTCCTCCAGGCCCTGCTTTGGGGTCCTCGACAGGGACTCTTTCAGCAGAACCAAATGGAGATCTCTGTGCTTTCTAATTGGTTACTACTTAAGAGTTCTCTTTTGGTTCTCAAGCTTGCCGAAAAAGGACTCTTTCAGGATCAGACTGGCTTGGACTGGGAAGACTATCTCTGTCTGCAATATCTATCCCTTACTGACCCAGAGACTATGCGTAGCATAACTGAACGTATGGGCCTTGATTTCATTACAACTGCTTAACAGATAAAAATGTAAATAGTAATGACAGCAATTGTGAGTTGGTGAGCCTTGTAATATCACTGATATGTAAAAGAACAGTTTTAAAATCCTAAGAACAGATCACCTTGTCCCATATTTGTAATTCACATTCATGAGCTGCTGTATACTTCAGGAGCCCTGCACAACACACTGAAAAATCTAGATATCGTGGCAACAAAGAATTTGTCCCTTATTTTAATTAAATCGGGGGCCAAGTTTGACTTTGTTCACTCGTTTTTTTTGGTAAGTTGTTGCAATGTTGTACTAATGTTTTAATTTAAGCAGATCATTGCCACAATTTAAAGGAACAAATTTTTGTCATGTACGAGGCTCATACATATGCATCCCTACTCTTTCCATTTTTTTCCCTCAATTCTTCTTGCTACAAAATGAACATGTAAAACATGTTATTTATACGGCTTTATCATATTCAAAGGGATCAGGCTACTCCCATTTACAGAAAAGGCCCAAGCAATATAAACTGTGTATTATTGCAAAATCAGCTTATTGTTGGAGTTTGACCTTGTGGCATTTACTTATTAACAATACCTGGGAAAATTTGCATTATGAAACATTCAACAGGGTTAAAAGAGCAATAAAGCCTTCTAAACCTACGAAGACATGGTCTAATAATTTACATTATGCTTATGGAAACGAATAGAGGTAGCGAAACGAAGGTAGTGGTGTAAGGTGAGCATTTTTATTCTGCACACTGTCAAACATGCAGACAGATCCTATTGAAGTCCTAACTAAACTCCAATTCATGCACACATTAAGAAACAACTTGAAGACACTGGTAAAAAGAAAATCAACATCAGCAATGAAAACCATGATTCTACAAACATTGATGATTGAGGGATCTTAACCATAAATATTATGCACTAAAAAGGATCTGTGTGGGAATGGATGAAGGGAAATCAGCAAAGAATCCAATTACATTGGAAGTTAAGCCCAGTGGCAATGGCTTAAATTAATGGTCACTGCAGAAATTGGGTTTACACTAGCGCAAATACGACTGGAAAAAAAACAAACAAACAGCACAACCCTTACAAGAACTACAGCATAGTAATTAACAGGAAAAACAAAACTTCAAATTTAACATTCATACTACGTTTCTTTTAATGGTGACCATGTTGAGTGAGATACAGCATAGTAATTAGAAGCAAGATGTGATTGATAAGCTTTATTCGTCACTATCGGAGTCTCTTTCGATGCTGTAAGCCATGAAGAAAGCGTCGGGGCGGGTTGGGACACAAAAAAATAAATACATTTTACACTGGAACAATCAGTTTAAGCCACAACTTTTTCCTGTAGGTATAAAAGAAAAATGTTAATTTGACTAACCTATCTTTGCTCCCTTCTGGGAGGACACCAGTGGGGATTTCGATGTAAAGGTTTGCCCCCTTCAGTGCTCCCCTCCAGACTAAGTGCTTGCTCACAGAGCAGCGCCGCTCAAAGAGCAAAAAACGTACACGGCTGTTCAACTGAGGGGCTTCCTCAAGAACCAGTAACTGAGCATCCTTCAAAAACAACAAATAGTTATATGCAGTCAAGGACAATTACTACAGCACAGCCATTTAACAAACTAGCATTTAAATCATTAACATGAGAAATCAGGCGAGGTGAAATGTCCAACGTCAATTCCCACAGGTGATGAGATTAATATGCAGATAAGATATGACCCTTGCACAGTGAGATAACTAAAAGCATACATCATGCACACATTCTCTTTGAGGAATTAAGTTGATACATACATACATACAAATTCTTGCTATCATTTATTCACAAACATTTTCATGTGATGTGAAATGTGAGCCAAACACTCTGTACTCACAGAATAGAATAGCTCAGCTGAAAGACTGTGATCCCGCTGATCATTCCCTCGCCCACCTGGGATCTTCAGGGGTGGGAGAGGGACATCAGGAACACCACAGAGGCCCCGGACACGGGTTACTGCAGCGAAGGGAACTGCAAACATAACACAACAACATACTTAATACTCAGACAGTATTACATCAACAATGTTTGGCTAAAATTTTATGAATCACTGAATGACTGAGTTCTAGTAACTCAACTGGTAGAGTATGACACCAATGCTAAAGGTTTTTGCACATTGGGAACGCAAAAATGCAAGTACATTAATTCTTTGTTATACATAAATGCATTAAAGATGACAGGAACACACTGATAAAACCTGGTTTAGTCTTTTCATCAGTATGTTTTAAAATTACCACAGGTTTTATGTTTCTTTTTGCAACGAATTAGTCGAGTCCGAGATTTGAGTGAAAAACCATTGTCTGTGGATAATTTTGGCAATGTTCACAATCACTCAAATCATGTACGAATTAAAAAAAAACAATGCATTTAATGATTATTATGCTTTTATTCCTAGTCACGTATACATAAATATCTATCGATCCATTTATCTATCTCCCTATTAGTGGGTAGGAATAAATTCAACTTCAACTAAAAGCTAAATAAGCTTTAAACTAATAATTCTACAAGAAAATGCATACACACACACGTGCGCGCATGTCCTTGGCATTAAAAAAAGTTAAATAAAAAAATATCCTGGTCCAAGCAAGATCATGACCATTTGAATTAAATGGTGAATCTGCTGACCATACTTGTAAAGAAAGAATAAAAACAGCAACATATTGAGACCTTGGTAAAATACTACAGCACAGGCCAAATTGTGCATAAATCGAATATACATTACGCTGTATTTCGTCATAAAATGTATAGCTCGCTAGGCTGTTCAGCTAAAACAAGGCCGCGCGCGAGCAATCTACATCAAAGTCCCACATTACCTTTCACTCTCGGGTTTATTACGGCTCATTTCGATCACTGGCATCTTGGATATATTACTCTCTTTTTCTCTGACAAAACAGTGGCTATTCAGGATCGTCTGGAGGTTGGATTTAACCATCCGGCCAGCGTCAAGGCCCGATTCTTCTCTGTCCGAGCGCCGACTGAAAGTGTTAACGGCTGCAGGCCCGCTGTATTTATACTCTGAAACACGAGTGGGCGTGGCTTCGGCGTTACGTCACGCGCTCTAGCAAACAAATAAGCCCTGAGTGGAAATAATCGAATTAAAATTGATCGTAGTCACAAAATTCGTAATGATAAGCCTAACGTTTGGTTTATTTACGAATGCTTATTTGTGCAGCACGCAAAAACTAAAACAGGATGGATTATAATTTATATCTAATAGAGTTACAAAATCTGTTAATAATTAATTATACTTCTCATTGTTACAGTATTCAACATGGTAAGCAGTGCAAGATGTAGACTACTATATCTAAGATTCATTATAATTAATGTATTTAAATTATTAACTTAAAAATAACAATATTAACTGGAAAACATCAAAAAATTACTTCTTCGTATGTATATGAACATACATAGGCTAATACCAACATTCAATTCAAGACTGCAAATCGGCCATGTAAAATCACAAGTGCTTGTATTTGTAATAATAAAGTCGCAGCTGTTGCTGTCCATCATGGCTCTGAAGAACTTGAGACTCCTCCTTGCACACAGTTTTTGCCTGACCACTCCGGCTTTGCCTGGTAAGAAGTGCTCGTTTGACTACTAACTACCACTAATGCAGTTGTTTTTGTTTGTTTATACTCATAATTATATGCATTACATTTATCAGCCCTGTTACTCAGTAGCCAGCTCTCGTAATTTTGTACTGTTTGCAGCTGAAGCTAGACTAGATGTTTTCTGTTATATTTTTAGGAATTTTTGACACAAGTTTAAATAGGTTTAAGTTAGCATTTCAACATTAGCCACCTCGAGAACATCACTTATTGAGCTGTGCGACACCCACATAAATGCAACAGACTCGTGTGAATCTATAAAATAAGATCATATAATAAATAACAACATGTTATAAGGGTATATTTAAGTTGAAAATGCCCTTTAATATACAAATTTAAGTGTAAGATATTTGCAAGATATTTACTTTGTTTTAATCTTCAATTCCACAGAAACTTCCAGAAAGGATCATCAGAACAAGTATGTATCTCTGACCCGTGATCTACATATGTAACACTTAAATATTTTAACATAATTCGCTGTATATTTGCCATCATTACAATGAATTTCTAACTGTATCACACTTAATTTCTGAGTTACTCAACTGTCTTCATTCAACAGTGAAGTATCGGCGCATATTTCCGGTGGAATCCTTGACTAAGGTGGAAAATCCATGGAAGGGCATCACTCTGAACCGCTGTATATTAGTGGCCATGGTCGTTGTGGTGGTCAGCTCAACGGTTGAGATAGTACAAGGTGAATTCTTGAATGTGAGTTATGCAGTAAATATTTGTGCATGCAAACTTAGCCAGTCAATTATTGCAAATTAAACCCTGACATTGTGGGGGCCTGAGGTGTCTTGTATCACCATGTAGGCATTTACTTTGCTTACCAAATACACTATTGATCAGGGCCCGTATTCATAAAACATTTTATCTTACCACTAAGAGTTCTCCTAAATAGTAGTAAAAGTTTTTAGCTAAGAGTTTTCTCTTAAAACCTATTCACAAAGCTGCTGAGACAAAATTTGACTTGGGAATAGAGAGAAGTCTTAAAGGGGTCATATGATGCGATTTCAAGTTTTCCTTTCTCTTTGGAGTGTTACAAGCTGATTGTGCATAGATAAGATCCCTGAAGTTGCAAAGACTAAAGTCTCAAAACCAAAGAGATATTCTTTATCAAAGTTAAGACTCTGCCACGCCCCCCTAAAACGTCTTGTTCTAACACGCCCCCACATATCTAGGTCGCTATGTGGGAATATTAGCATAATGCCGCCCAAGTGTGCACGCAAAGAAAGGCGGCGTGGTTTCAGTAACCGCAGTTAGTGTTGGTTACATTTCCGACGAGTGCTTGCGGTGTTCGGCCAATCACAATGCACTGGGTCAGCTGGCCAATCAGAGCAGACTGCGCTTGTTGGAAGGAGGGACTTTGTAGAAAACGAAGCGAGGTGGGGCATAGAGGACTTATAGTAATGTACAGTATTTGAAAAATAATGTGTTTTTTGAACATTAAAGCATGTTAACATATTCTGTTACACCAAATACACAAAATAATGATCTTTAAAAAATGCATCATATGACCCCTTTAAGCTAAGTGTAAGGGGGCGGGGTTGACCTCGTTGCTATAGATGATGTCAGCATGCTTATTAACTACAGTGCACACAGTGATTGGCTGATAGTCTCTGTCAGAGATTTATTAATAGAAATATTGTAGAGCACAAATAAATAAAGGTTTAAAAATAAAAATACAATTAATTGCCACATTCAAATAAAGATTTTAAGATGCAGGCTAAATGTCACTAATTAAACAAGTATATGTTCAGCTAATTGTCAGCCTCTTACATATGTGCTTCTCAAAAACAATTAGCAGATATGCATATAAACAGCCTTTTAATTAACAGAGTAGAATAATCATGGCTGATAGTAATGCATGCAAACATAAAAAAAAAAAAAAACTGGACGCAAGAACAGCTGTTACTTCTTGCCCAACTGGTTAATTAAAACAAGGATATAATCAAAGGAAAATTTGGAGTTCGGATAACCTCCAAAACCAAAGGTGATACCTTTTTAAAAGGTCATTATCATCAAATGTTTCTAAAATATTTACGTTCAGAGGCAGATTGCCGCCAACAGCCATTTTAGGAATAGTTTGCGACTTGGTCTTCGTGACTTAGGAGTCCTCTTCACTACTCCTAACCTTTCACAGATTTAGGAGCTAGTTTTAGCGCTAAAACGCTTTGTGAAATATCTTTGTGAAATAATCTGTGAAAAGTTAGGAGTAGTGAAGAGGACTCCTAAATCTGTGAAAAGTTAGGAGTCCTCTTCCCGACTCCTAACTTTTCACAGATTTAGGAGCTAGTTTTAGCGCTAAACGCTTTGTGAAATACTCTTAGAGCAAAAATTTAGGAGTCCTAAATTTAGGATTGACAAGCCCATTATTTTTAAGATTTTCTCCTAAATCGGCGAGTTATAAGCTA